TTTTTTGCGTAACTGAGGATTGAACTCAGATCCTTGCGTTTGCCAGTCAAGCACTTATCCTACTGAGCCATCTCCCCCCGCCGCCCCAAGACTCTTACCTGTAGCTGGACAATGGAGCCACTGGTCAGGCTAGTGAGGAGGAAGACCAGTAGGCAAGCAGCCCAGATCTGAGTATTCAGTGCCATCACACCGTCTGTCTGGCCAACCTACTGTTGGGTCTAGGACTTGTTCTGGTTTCTAGCGCTCAACTGCCACCTCTTTTATGAGGCCTGCTGGAGGAGGTGGTGGTCTGAGCCCCCACCCCTTTGCCCTAGCTCATTTCCAAGAAGGTGGTGGCGCCGTAAAGGCGGGAGAGATAAGGGGACATGGGACAGAGTTGTGTCACCCTTGGCCAGCAGAGGTGTGTCTAAGGGGTGGAGCAGACAGGGCCACAGACATATTTCTCTGGCCAGCACTACCTGGGAGCACTTTCCTCCAGTGTGATGTCACTGTTGATCTCAGAAGAAAAAAAAAAAAAGAAAAATCCTTTTGTCCAGAAGTTGGAGAGCAGCAACACAGTGTCCCTCACTCCCACGCTTCCTGGATGCCCTCATTCATGTCAGTGTGGCTGATGGACCAGCACAGCTGCAGGGAGGGGCATTCCATTGTTCTGGGGGCCCCCGCATGCGCATAGCTTTTGGGAAGGACACTGGATAGCCAGGTCCCTAAGCTACAGCTCATGTTGGCTGAACCTCCGCCAGACTTTTTTCTGAATGGCAGACTTTTGAGATGCAGCTGTAGTGGATGGAAATGGCCACAGAAGGTAGCACAAGACCCCCCTCTGATGTGGGCATTTACACGCCGGCACATCAGTTCATTGTTGTGTTAGCCATTGCCACCTGCCTTCTCAGCCACTAACCCCAAAGGTGACTTCTTTGATGCCAAATACAGCAATTGCCATCAGCAAGCTATCTCCCCAAAACAAAGGAGTGCAGCACTAACACTGACCCTTATCCAAGCCCTCATTCAATGCCATCAATCGGGACAAGCAGTATTTACACCATAGAAACTGACAAACACCAGGCCTTTTTGAGTTTGGTTCGCAAGGATGTCACTAGCTGGGGGATGGACCAAGGCTGACTGTGGTTCTTGTGTTCCTGCCTCCCAGACCCACCTTGCAATAAACTTACCTCAAGGGACCCACAAACCTTGACTCCAGAGATGAGCCCCTGGCCACCTTGCCTGACTTGTGCCAGGGCTATCCACGGATACCCCTCCTGCCAGGGCCCATTAATGACACTGTCAAGGACTACTTCTTGACCCCTCATTTGAAACCATGAAAATGGATGGGCTCTGAAATGGAAGGCTGCTCCCTGCCTCATTCACCCCAGCTAATTGTCCGAAGGGAAAGCTGGGGCAAAGCAGACTGGGCAATGTCTCAGCACTCCGGGTGGTGGCAGGACAGGGAGCTCAGCCAGGTGAGCAGCGGGCAGACCCTGATACTGGGGGATGAACTGAAGAGGGGCAGCACATTGACCCCAGGGGAAGCAGCAGCATCCTCCAGCACCAGCAAGCATCGCTGCACTGGTTCAGGCCAGGTTTCATCATCCACCAGGGGCAGGGGTCACAGCACAGGCGCCAGAGCCCCGGTGTGTGGCGACAGGCTGCCGGGCCAAGCCTGGCTTCCTGGCCATCTGCCCTCCCTGGGGGCGGGGGGCTCAAGGCCAGGCCCCATCATTGGCTGATGCAGAGGGGAGGGCTTCAGCCCACAAGGACAGGGCCAGGAATCAGGCCTGTTTTCAGGAACTGGAGTTGAGGAGACCCCAGCCTTTCCTCCAACAATGTGAGACATGTCCTTGACCCTAGTCCTCCCACCCAAAACCCTACACTCGCACTTGGGGCCTCTAAGCAGACATTTAGTCCTTAATTCCTCCATCCACCTGACCAATGGACAGGGCACCTGGTATATGGGATGGCAGAGACTGGTACACTGCCACCAACACAACAGCTGAAGTCCTGGAGCTCTATACTGACCCTAGTCCCTCCCCAGGCCTGAGATGGACAGAGACTGACAGACAAGGCGGGGGCCACATGGGGCCAGTTTATTGCAGTTAAATACCTCTCTCTCTCTATTTTTTTTTTTTTTTACCATTTTTCCATAAAGAAAATTAAAACACACACACACGCACACACTCACGCACACACACAATCCCCCAAAGGGGAGCAGGGATCCAGAAACAAAAGGTGGGGTGGAACACAGCCTTCCTGCTTAGGTCCAGGCCCTGGGGTAGCCCCCCACCAAAGCTCCCTCCTTCCCATAAGCACCCTGTCTCAGTACCTCTAGAGACCAAGGAGGCAGCAGGAAATGGCAAGGCCTTTGTAGTCCTCCCTCGTGCTCCCTGGTGAAGCCACCAGGGGTGCTAGGGCTTGGGGAGGGCCAGAAAAGGGAGGCAGACAGACAGGTGGGAAAGGAGTCATGTCCAAGTTGAGGAGGGCAGTGGGTAATGTATCCACAGAAATGCATTATTTCATTTCATTTTTGTTAAAAATCTACTATAAAAAAACGCAGCTGGGGGAGGGGCACGTGTCCCTCTCTGTGCTAAGGGCTGGGGGTGGGGCGTCATGGTGGAGCGGGCATCACTGCCGGGCACTCTCGCCCACCATCTCCAGGTTGTGCTGCTGCAGCTGGGCTCGAAGCAAGGCATTCTCATTCTTCAGCTCCTCGATCTGCAGTTGCGACACGACACAAGAGTCAGAGGCTACCTCCTGCGTCCTGAAGTCCGCAGGGTGGCTACACTCACCTGCTGCCTCAGGAGCTCGTTGTCTACCTGCAGCCGCTCGGCCTCCTTGAAGGTCTCCTGCATGCGCTGGTTGGTCTGGCGCAGCTCCCGGATGTAGTCGCAGGCCTTGGACAGGATGCCTCCTTTACTCTGGGGTGGGGAGAGGTGTGAGAGCATCAGGCAGAGTGCTGCCCACTGGCCCATCCCAGGACAGCGCCAGCGCTGTGGGTCAGCCAGGCTTCCTGGAAAGGGCTGGGGAACTGGGGCTGCTGCAGCAATGGAGGCCAGGCGGCCTCCTAACCAGAGGGCAGGGGACACTTACCGCTCCTGTCTTGCTATTATCTGCATTACAATCTGGAATGATTTTTGAAAGCTGGACAATCCAGTTGTTGATCTTGTCCCTCCGTCTCCGCTCCACTGCAGGAGAATGGCAGTAATAACGGCTACCCACAGCACTTACTGCCCTTGCCTGACAGGTTGCCACAAAGGACACTGTCAGCCCTAAGCACTGAGGCCCAGGACAGGCGTCACCCCAGGTCACAGTGCTAGGAAGAGCAAAGACAGAACCCTGGCTGCACTGCTTCACAGGAGGGCAACACCTAACACCCCAACCTCAAGGACCACACACCCTCTGACAGAAATCAAAGGCTACAGACTACTGGGCATGGGGCCACATCCCTGTAACCCAGCACTCTGGAGGCTGAGGCAGGAGGATCACTGCGGGTTTGAGACCAGCCTGGGATACAAAGTCAGCTCAATGCCAGCCTCAACTGCATACTGAAACTGTCTCAAAAAGATGAGACAACCCCCCCTCCCCAGGGACTGTGATTGTTTTCTTTGGCCCACCCAGCATATTTATGAAAATCTGAGTCTATTAAAAATTAAGAAATTTCATGTCATAATCATCATTTCTTTTTTTTCTTTCGTTTTTTTTTTTTTTTGGCGGGGGGAGAACTGGGGATTGAACTCAGGCCCTTGCGCTTGCCAGGAAAGCACTTATTCCACTGAGCCATCTCCCCAACCCATAATCATCATTTCAGATTTTTTTTTTTAACTGCAGCTCTGGCTCATATTCTAAGATAGTTAAGAAGGAGTCAGAGCTCCTTCACACAGGACCCAGCAGTGCTCTGGCTTCCACAGCCCTGGGATGGGCTCTCCATATCATCCCAGAATTTCTGCATCCCCTGATCTCATTTCTCTCGTCTGTGAATGGAATTTGATCATGACTTCTGCGGAGCCCTGGCAGCAAGTGCCAGCTCTGCAGGACTGGTACTGTGGCTCTCGGAGACCTGGTCCCCAGGCTTTGGCTCCTGGGTACAACACGGCCCCAAGCCTTGAAGGCCAAGGATAGCAAACTGATGTAGAAGTAAGTTCACCTGAGAAGTCCACATTTGGGATTTCATAAAACTCCACACTCCCCCACGGTCATATGCACCCTCCCTCTGGCCCATGTGACGTCCTTAGAACTCTCCTAGGGGAGCAGCACACATGTGAGCTGAGACCCCAGCCTAGAGGTGCAGCTGTTCAACCTTTCAGCAATTCTTGAGTTCAGGACTACAGAGAGGGGCACAGAAGGCCTGGCCACCCCCTTCATCACACCTCTGCCTTCTTCCCAGGAAGGTTAAGAGGAGATGTGCAGTGTTTGGGAAAGGGATGGGGCCTACAGATAGGTGGGATCCGGAAAACAGGTCAAGGGAAAATTTTGTGAGGGGTGGGTGGGGAGCCTGGGGGAGGGTATGCTTCTCCTAAGCTCAGGGTGCCCCCGCCCTGCCCCGCAGTAGTGCTCCAGGCCAACAAGTGGGCACAGCCCACTGCTCTTCTTGGTCCTGTCCCCCAACTACTGCAGACCAGCCCTCACCATCTCCGAGTTCCCCTCACTTGGACTGAGTGACCCACCCATGAGGATCCTCCTTCCTATGCTCTGACTACGGTTCAGACTCCCAGGCCCTCCTCTCACCCTCTTCTTTCTCAGCAGCGTGCACCATGCTGAGTGAGACTGCGGGGGCTAGGACGCCTCTTCACTGGCTCAGGACAGGGGTAGGGGCCCTACTACGGTCAGAGTAAGCAGAAATCTGCCACTAGGGACAGCCATCTCCAACGGGAACACTGTGGGCAAATGCATCAACAAAGCTGAGTCTCCAGCCCACGCTCCTCTGCAGTGTGCCCCAGCCATTCCCCAAGTCTCAGTGACACCCTACTCCCTGCAGTCTAATGCTCATGGACCTGGCCCTGAGCTGCAGCCCCAGCTCACAGGTCCTGTTCATTTCAAGCCACTTACACTCCTGAAAAACCTAACCGCCCGCCCTGCCACAGGCAGGGCGGCACCAACCCCACTGTCATGCTGGTGTCACCACCGTGGAGTCCCTATGAACAGGCACCACCAATCCCACTGTGTACAGAGTGCTGAGGAAGGCAGAAGGGCGGCAAGCAATGCCTCCTGCACAGCCTGGGGGTGCAACGAATCCCGAGAAATAGACCGATTTAATAACCAAAAAGAAGAAAGGAAAAAAAAAAAAAACCCAAAAGGAGGCACGTC